CATTTTTAACTTTATATCAGATTTTTTAATGTTTATAACAATTGGACTAAAGTCTACAATATCTCCTATTCCAAAGCAAGCAAATTTAGCTGTATGTGTGTTCATTTTATTTCATTTATTCCTTATGTTACAAAATGAAACAAATTTGGATTGAAATTTAGAAATTTAATCAAGTTATTTGATTAAAATTACAAAACACGTTATATATTGTGTGAGCCTAGGTGCATGTCACATAGCACCTACATGTAGTGCTCCTGCAAAGAAGATGTTTGCTTCAGAGGTACAGTTACCAAGGGTAAGGAATCAGATTTTACAGGAGGCTCTAAGTGTTAACAAATGGCAAGTTTTAAGAAAAAGTGCTAAATGTTAACATTTAAGTTACTTGTTTTGGTTTCACTGCATAATGACCACCATTTCTAATCCCAATAAACACAAGGGAACTTGTAGATGTAGTAGCAGAATTAGATCATGACATATCCTTTACACGTGACTCGTGCACTGAATCCAAACAGCTAATTCAAAATCAAATTAAGTCACTTGAATTGAACAAAACATCCTGCCAACCCTGATCGTGTGTAATGTGTGCATTCATACTTCTCACAGGGAACTGAAGGGCTCACAGGACGGGATAAGTTAATTAGTGCAAAACCTGGAAAAATTACAATCTTTTAAAAAACTTAAAAATTGCTACTTTTCCCCCCAAATTTAAAATGATTTATATCAGTAATTTCAAAATAAGTCATTAGATCTAAATTGTGATGTAGATCACTGATTTTAATCAGAGTGATCTAAATCGGCCAACCCCACCACTATTATTCAGCTTCAGCTTTATTTTTAAAGCTGTTTCAGTCATTGGCCGATTTAGTTTGTTCATCCACAGGAGGTCCTAGTAAACTATACCATACTGTACATTGGGATATTGGCATAAATGGACCAGTCTGTTGCTTTAAGAGGTATTTTTAATGCTCTTAGTAAAAGGTGTAATGTCCATAACACACATTTTGTAATGTCCATGATGTAAAAATTGTAGTGTCAATGACGCTCATTTGCATAATTAAACATAGTTTTAGTTAAGTTTTTCGACAAGGGGGGTTTACCCAAGTAAACTAGCTTTGCACTTGAAGTCTCATAAAAATTTCTTTAACTTACATTAGGAAAACTAATTAAATAAAAACATCATGGACATAATAGATTGGCCTTAAGTCAAACTGGCACATTTAAATTAATAATAATACTACTGAGAATTTATAACGCACCCAATCCATCACAAATGATGCTCAAGGCGCAAAACACCTTTACAAAATAAAATATGCATCAAATACATTTCTGAAAAGGTCAAAACATTACTGAAAAGGTCCAAACAAATATCGATACATTAACATGAAAAAACATTTACCACAGGTCAGAAGAGATTAACCAGGAAACAAGAATGTTTTAAAGGCTGCTTTAAATTCTAAGAGTGATAAATTGCGAATATGAATAGGAAGTTTGTTCCAGAGAAAAGTGCCGGCCGGCATAAGCGAAAGAGGGATTCCCGCATGAGTTATGAGTATGTGGGATGCCAAGCAGGAAAGTATCAGATGATCTTAGGTGCCTTAGTGGAATGTATGGAGATAAATCAATGTTGTATTGACATGATTGAGAAGCAGTACAGTGGTAAACCAGCAGTAACAGCTTGTGCTTAATCCATTCAGCCACAGAAAGCCAGTGCAAAGAAAGCAGAGTGGGAGTAATGTGAGCTCGGGAAGGAGCTCGTGTCACAATGCCAGCAGCAGAATTCTGGAGTCTCTGAAGTTGATTGCAGGGTAGTCCAAACGAGTTGCAAAAGTCCAAACAAGGCGAAATCAAGGCATGGACAAGCTTCTTGGTGGCTGAGTGGGTAAGGTAATTCTGAATGACACCCAGATTACAGAGCTGAACTCTAACAGACTTACAAATATTGGAAACATGGAGGGACATTGACAAAAATGAGTCAAAGATGACCTGAAGATTTCTGCAGGTCTCTGACACACGGAAGAAGTGTTTATGTTAAGCTGTTGATATTGATTTTTGCAAGCTGTGACTTTGAACCAAACAGAATTAGTTCTGATTTCTCACTGTTAAGTTAAAGTGAATTGGAACTCAACCTCACACAAACATCAGTAATGCAGGATTCAAGTCTATGGAGAGTATGTAAGGCATCATCTTGATTTAGTGCAAATGACATAGAGAGCTGCACGTCATCAGCACAGCAGTGGTAGTTGGCATCATGGGACTGCAAGACTTGCTTAGGACCACTAAGATAAATGCTAAACAACAATGGCCCACCTACAGATCCCCAGGTGTTTGAGTTTAACAAGATCAGATTTGGCACCATTGACAGAGACCTGCTGATGACTATCACTCATGCATGATTTGAACCAATCAAGAGCCCAGGCGCAAATACTAAAGGATGACAAGGTGTTTAGGAGTATATTGTACATGTAGTTGACCATATCAAATAAGGCAGACAAGTCCAAAAGAACAACTGCTGTGAGTCTACCAACATCCATCTCTGACAAGATATGTGAAGACAAATTGGGTAACAGGGTCTCAACACTCACATGGACACGATACGCTGATTGCCACTTGTCATAGAGACCATTCAATTTTAAATAATCAGTACATGGTAATCTTGAGAACACTACCCGCTCAAGAAACGTTGAGAGGTACGGTAGGTTTGACATAGGCCAGTAGCTCTGTAACAATTCTAGATTGAGACTTGGCTTCTTCAGCAGTGGGCGAACATAGGTGATCTTCAATGCTGCTGGAACATTGCTGTCCTGAAGACTCAAATTGACAATCCTCGCTATCACCGACAAAAAAGCAGGTGAAAAGTCCTGTAGGTACAGGATCAAATTCACAAGTTTTGGCGGGACAAATCTACCATTGCTACGGTAGTGAGAAAAAACATGACAATACTAAGTCTTGTTGTTTTGAAAAGGCATGCCCCATGTGAAATTGTTCAAAACTTACAAACAAATTGGTTTCTTTTATGATATTCTCAAGGATGGTGGATAAAAAGTGCTTCAAATTGGCTTGTATAAAAGCTGTTATTTTAAATTTTTAATCATCAGTTTTCACAATAGCAAACAACAAAAACGATGGAAAACAAAATCAGATTTAAAATAGTCCAGTCATCACTCTTTCACCTCATGGATAATCTAAACTGATTTCATGATTATGTCATTTTAATTTCAGAACTTGTGTCTTTTACTTCTTCAACATGTACTAATGGAAGTAATAAACGCCTCTCCCCACCCTCCAAAAAATTCAGAGATATGAAGTCTTGGGAGAGAAAAATGTGTTTTACATCAGCAGCATGCATGACCTGAGCATGAGTTGTCAATGACCCTCTTTTGAGGTGTATTTGGCAAGGATGAATATCTACAGAGGTACACATTCAATGAAATTAAATTTAGAAGGTCTATAGGTAGAAATTAGTGCATAGCATTATGATGTTGCCTTCATGAGTAACATGACACAACCTCAAAGGCTTACCTCTATACAGCCAAAATCTAAAGAACTCCATACCTTTATACAACTAAAATATAAGGAACTACATACCTCTATAGAGCTCAAATCTAAGGAACTACATACCTCTATACAGCCCAAATCTAAGGAACTACATACCTCTGTACAGCCCAAATCTAAGGAACTACATACCTCTGTACAGCCCAAATCTAAGGAACTTCAACTGGCATGTTTATAACTACTACTTAACTTCTTGAATACTGATCAAATATTAAGTCTGCTATACAGTCGGAAAAGTGGCGTCTTTGTTGAAAAATTAAATTGTAATGAACCCACAAGCTAGAATGATCTGTATTTTTCAATGATTTTTCAACCATGTAGTAGAATGATCTCACTGTTCCTTGTTCAGTTTGTTTTTACCTGTGTATCACCAGGAAAGAATACTACATGTCCTTGGGCAGTTTCACGCTGATGCTTGCAATTGCTGCCATTGACAACTGTTGAAAACAAAATATCATTTTCACGACTGCCAACACCAGTAACATTTTTAAGCGTCATAAATGTCAGGCCTTTCATGAATTCTCTGTGAGCCATTCTTTCCAACAGTCTGCCGTATGTTCAGCTTCTTGAGGTACCACAAGAACTTCAATCCACACTTTTTCCAAGGTACATGTATGCTTGGTTGCCGCCTGGAAAAAAATCCAAATGTAAAATATTTTCATTTAGTCACACCTAAATATAAGCCTTCCTATAAGCCTCTCTTCGACCTATTCTTAGACAGGAAGTGGGCACAGGTACATGTAAATGTAGTTTACACATGTATAGACCTAAGGCCAAGTAAGTAAAGTGTAAACACATTTTTATTTATGATTTTTTGGTTTAAAATCATAAATAAAAATATGTTTACACTTTACTGTAGTTTGACTGTGATGCAAAAGTTTTGTATGCAACCACATGTGGTAGTAGTAGTAATAATAATAAACAGTATTATATGGCG